ATGAGAGAATTTTTAATTTTGTTGAAGGCATCCTTTGCGTCTTCATTTAATTCAATATTGATTTTACTGGACTTGTTTTTAGATATGCGTCCTTCTTCCTTTCTTAGGTGTATGGTTAGGGGTTTAGCGAGCATCGCATAATCTTTTATAAAGCGACGATAGTAGCCGGAAAGGCCTAAGAATGAGCGAAGTTGCTTAATATTTTTGGGGTAATGTTATTTAGCTATTGCTTCAACCTTTGAGTGATTCTTTGTTATTCCTTTTGAGGAAATAATGAATCCTAGAAACTCTACCGAGTCCCTGAAAAAATGGCACTGGTTCAATTGTATCTTCATGTTTGCGTCATTGAGGGTTTCGAAAATTTGGTTTAAGTGGAGGGTGTGCTCTTCTTCAGAGTTGCTGAAGACGACTATATCATCGATATAGACATAGCAAATTTTTCCAATGTGACGACGAAGAGTCGCTGGAATATTGAGGGAGCATTCTTGAGTCCGAATGGCAGTCTCGTGAACTCGTATTTGCCATTGTTTATTGAGAAAGCTGTTTTCTCGATATCGGATTCTTTGAGAGGGATTTGGTGGAATCAACTTCTTAAATCTAGGACGGAAAAATATTTGTTTTTCCCAAGTTCGGATAATACCTCGTTAATCTGGGGTATTGGATAGCGGTCTGCTACGGTAATCGCGTTAAGCTTCCGATAGTCAATAACGATTCGATATTGCTTATTGCCCTGGGAATCGGGTTTTTTGGCTACGACCCAAACGGGTGAATTATAAGGTGATCTCGATGGTCGAATGATGCCATCGTCTAACATTTTGTTGATCTGAGTTTCAACTTCACCTTTCAATGACATTGCGTAAGGGATGTCCTTGTGCGTTCTAATGTCTGCTATCACTTTTGTGGTATAGGTGAGTTTATCGTTTGGTTCCGAAAAGAGATTAGAAAAATTTCTAACCAAGTTATTAATTTCTTTCTGCTGATTTGATGACAAGCTATCTTCCTTAATATCAATTTTGTTAATAGATCTTGAAGCTAACTGTTTGATTTTAATTTTGGTATTGCCTTTTAACTCCATGAGGTTACCCTTTACGTGGATGACTGCGTCGAGTTCTTTGAGGCTATCATTGCATTGCGAGGATACCATGGAACGATTTCAGAGTTGGGAGGAGGTAGAATTTCAATTTTTTGTCTGAGTTAAATAGGTTGAGGAAGGTATGCTGTTTGATTTCGATGTTTCCTGCTATTGATTTTGCAAAAAAAAAATGCTATCGTTACTTATTGGATTGGCCACGATAGAGGGTTGTATATAATTTTTTGTAGATCCTGTATCAATTAAAATTTTAACTATATCTCCACTCTTCAACCTGCATTCGAAATAGGGCAGCGAAGAGTGACTAATTCTAAAAAATGTAAGTCAGTCGTGTCAATGTTGCTGTCGTCTTGACCTGCATCATTTCTGTCGTTATAGTAATGGCTAGAGTTGTCGTTCGTCTGTTGGTCATCTGTCGTGGTAAGATAGTAAGCTTGAGGTTGCTCGGAATCTATGTGGTAGTTCCGTTGGATTTTATTTGGGGGCACAGGGGCTGGAGGGTTGCCAGGAGGAGGTCTTTTATTAGTGGGGTAATTATTACGTGGTCTATTCATGTAATTGATGTTCCTAGTTCGTAATGATGGGTCTATGTCCATTGGTTTCGGAAGTGGATGTGGCTTATGCAAAGGCCACAGGATTGTAGTGCTGTTGTGCATATTGGGGTGCCTGTTGCTGGCGTTGAACTTGATAGTTCATTTGAGGTAACCTATGTGGCTGCGTACAACCTAGGTTGGGGCATGTATGCTAATTCGGGGTAAAATTCGTTATTCATCCTTCTGGGAGGTAGGGGTGGACGAAACTCTTGTGGTTTCCTGTTTATATTGGTATTATTGCTCAAGGTATATTGTGGCCTGTAGTTTTGATTCTCAAGTTTGAGACATAAATGGAGTGCCTGAGGGAGATCTGCTGGTTCCCTCATTCCGAGGAGTCTTGGTAGATCTCCTTTGAGTCCACGAACGAATGTGTCTAGGGCTTTATCCCTATAAGTACGGGTTAGTAGGTGCATGGCTTCTGCGCCGACTTCCATGCATCCCAGTTTGTTAAGGATTAGCGAAAGATGAGAATATACCTTTTGGTAAAATTCTTGGATTGTACGACTACCCTGTACAAGAGAAGTCATTTGGTACATAAGAGTACCGAGTTCACGTTTACCCGCGTAATGGAGTGTTAGGCACCTAGAAATCGCCTTCCAATCCAGTGGAGTGTTATAGGACTCCAAGGCAATGTCGGCATTGCCTACGATTTTATTCCTTATGACATTGAGGATGCCATAATACTTGGGGAAACCTCTTTGAGGATCGTATATCTGGAGGATCCTATCTACGCTTTTCCTCCAGGATGTGAATTCTCCAGGGTTTCCGGAGAACACCCGAAGACATTGTACCACATCTGGTATTTTGTCCAGTTCAGAGATATTACCGGGTATACTTGAATCTATGGTGACGTCCGTGAAATTTGAGAAGTTGGAATTGGGATTAAGGGCTGCTTGAACGATGTTTCGCCCTTCAGTCTTTAAGACATTACTCACAATCCCTGTGATTACAGAAGTTAACTCATCCATAGAGAATGAGCTAGAAGAGGCTGGGGACTGACCATGGGGTGCTGATGGTCCCTGGGGTGCGTTGAGCACTGGTGGCCGGCAGGATTAACTGGCATGGTTGATATATTTTATTTATGCTATTTTTAATTTAAAATTTTTATAAATTTATTTCATTCATTTATCCCTACGTTATTTTGATTTAAATTAAGCTTTTCTTTTCTAGATTTTTTTTCACTTCTAGTTGGCTTATTTTATTTTTAATAGAATTTTATCTCTTCTAATTGATTATTTTAATTCTGATTTACACTTTCTTTCTTAAATTTGCTCACGCTTTGCGTTTATTTTTGCATTAAAATTTTGCTTAAACTAAATTCGTTTTATATAAACAATTTTACTTTTTCATTTTTCTTTGATTTTTTTAACAAATTCTTTTAAATAACTTAGAACTAATTCCTACTCTAGTAACAGGATCATTCTCCTGGGCAGGCGGCTAACATCTTGCGTTTCTTGTTGACTATTATGTGTAGTTATTAAGGGGCCTCGTTTCCTGCGCTGGTTGAGTCCTAGTCCAAAAAAATATTTTATTTTAACTTCATTTGTGAGTTACAGAACTGAAAATGTAAAATTAGTACAATTTGATTTTACTTAAAAGCTAAGCTATGTTGCACTGGCCGGTTTATTGGTTGTTGTTGCAAATTCCCTGTATTTGCTTATTTTGGGCTGCGCGTGTTGGGCTTCCGTTCTATACCGAAATTAGCTTTTATGCTGATGGTGTGTCTGGCTTTTACTGTGAGAAAAGTTGTGCAATTAAAGGTGCACTTCCGCTGTGCTTTACTTATTCTTGCTGATTAGCAATTATTGTTTTATTTAGCAATTGTTAACATATGCCATGTTAACATATATTATATATATGTTTGTTTTTAAATTTTGTATGTAATGTATTGTATTGTTGTTTATTTTTTACACTTTAGGGATTTATTTTTATTTTATTTAATTTTTTCGTTTATATAAAATCATATTATCACCAGCAATCTTTTTAAACCCGGCAATAAAGAGAAAACGGAATGGAGTAGTTATAGGATGATGAGGTCATCCTCATCCATGTCTTCAGCAAATTTGATATTGATATTGATTTAGATTTTGATTTTGATATTGATTTAGATTTTGATTTTGATTTTGATTTTGATTTCATCCTCATCCATGTCTTCAGCAAATTTGATATTGATATTGATTTTGATATTGATTTAGATTTTTTTTGATTTTGATTTTGATTTTGATTTTGATTTTGATTTTGATTTTGATTTTGATTTTGATTTTGATTTTGATTTTGATTTTGATTTTGATCGTGATTGGGATTTGGAATTTTCTATTTATTTGGATTTTGCTTTGGGTTTCGGCTTTGCTTTGTCTCGCTCTGCATTTGCTTTGGCTTTTCTTTGATTTGCTTCGTTGTGGTTTGCTTTGCTCTGGGTTTTACTTTGGTCTTGGATTTGGATTTGGATTTGGATCAGGACTTGGTTATGTTTTGCTCTGATTTGGTTTTGGTTTTGCTTTGATTTGTTTTCATTTGGATTTGTTTTTGGATTGGGATTTGGATTTGGGTTCGAATTCGGATTTGGAGTTGGATGTTATTTATGTTCTGCTTTGTTATTGTTTTGCTTTTCATTGATTTGATATTGTGTGATTTGATTTAATTTAGATTGGAATTCAATTTAGATTTGGATTTGAGTTTGGTTTTGGATGTTTATTTAGATTTTGAATATAACTTGGATTTTTTTTAATATTGTGAATTTGGATTTGACTTTGTCTTTGTTTTGCTTCACTTTTATTTGCTTTGATTTGATTTAGATTTGGATTGGGATTTGATTTTGAATTCGGATTTGGATTTGGGTTTGGATATGGAATCGGATTTTGATTTGCATGCGCTTTGCTGTGTTTTGCTTTGATTTGATTTGGGTTTGAATTGGGATTTGGATTTGGGGTTTCTTTGCTTTAATTTGCTTTATTTTAATTTGAAGTGATTTCAATCTCTTCGTTTTGTTTTGTTTTCGGTATGGCTTTTGCTTCGCTTTTCTTTCCTTTGATCTGCTCTGATTCGATCAGGTTTGGGTTAAGATGTGATTTTGGATGTTAACTTGTACGTGGATTCGGATTTAGCTTTGCTTTGAATTGTTATGTTGTGCTTTGATTTGGTTTGGGTTTGAATTGGGATTTTGTTTTGGAGCTTCTTTGCTTTTATTTGCTTTGTTTTGATTTGGTTTGCTTTGATTTGATTCGTTTTGGCTTCGGCTTTGATTTTGAATTTTAGTTTGCTTTGCTTTGCTTTTATTTGATTTTTTTACTTTGTTTTGCTTTCGGTTTGGCTTTAGCTTAGCTTTTCTTTCCTTTGATTTGCTCTGATACGATAAAGTTAGGAGTTGAATTTGGATTTGGATTTGGATGTGGGTTTGGATTTGGATTTGGATATGGATTTGTATTTGGGTTGGGATTTGGATTTGTATTCGGACTTGGATTAAGATTTGGTCTTTGGTTTGGATTTGGGTTTGGACATGGATTTGGATCTTTATTTGGATTTTGATTTGGAATTGGGTTGTGATTCGGATTAGGACTTGGATATGGATTTGGATTTGGANGTTTTTTGGATTGGCTCTCGCCTTGGCCCTGGATTTGGATTGGGATTTAATGGTTTCTTTGCTTTGCTTTGGCTTTCTTTGCTTTGATTTGATTTGGATTCGGATTTGGACTGGGCTTTGTTTTGTTTTGATTTCATTTGTTTTGCTTTGCTTCTGTTTTGGTTTGCTTTGGGCTTTGCTATGCTTTGTCTTTTTTGCTCTTGGTTTGGCTTTTGCTTCGACTTTTGCTTTGGCTTTGGATGCGGATTAGGATTTCGATTTGGATTTGCATTTGGAACTGGATTTGGGTATTTGTATGGGCTTGGCTTTGGCTTTGAATTTGATTTGCTTTGTTTTGCTTTGATTCGATTTGGATGTGGAGTCGGATTTGGGTTTGGATTTAAATTTGGACTCGGATTTGGATTCGGAAAGGATTTTTATATGGATTTTAATTCGAATTTGGTTTTGCTTTTCTTTGATTTGCTTTGTTTTGCTTTTTTTGGTTTGGCCTAGGCTTTGCTTTGATTTGCTTTGACTTACCTTGGTTTGCTTTTTTCTTTTGGACTTGGAGTTTGCCTTGGATTTGGATTTGGATTTGTATTTGGATTTTAATTTGGATTTGGATTTGGATTAGGATTTGGATTTGGATTTAGATTTGGAGTTGGATGTGGGTTTGGATTTAAAAAAGGGTTCGGATTTGGATTCGGAAAGGATTTTGATATGGATTTGAACACGAATTTGGTTTTGCTTCTCTTTGATTTGCTTTGTTTCCTTTTTTTGGTTTGGCCTAGGCTTTGCTTTGATTTGCTTTGACTTACCTTGGTTTGCTTTGATGCGCCTTCGACTTGGAGTTGGTTTTGGATATGGACTTGGATTTCGATTTGGATTTGGAATTGGATTTGGATTTGGATTTGGATTTGGATTTGGATTTGGATTTGGACTTGGATTTGGATTTGGATATGAATTATTACTTGGATTTGGTTTTGGAATTGTGTTGTTTTGCTTTCTTTGCTTTGATTTGATTTAGTTTACTTTGAATTGATTCGATTTGGCCTTGGCTTTGGACTTGGGCTTGAGTTTTCTTCGCTCTGCTCTGATTATATTATTTTTACTTTTATTTGTTGTTTTTCTTTGTTTTGCTTTCGGCTTGGCTTTTGCTTTGCTTTTCTTTCCTTTGATTTGCTCTGATACGAAAGGTTTGGATTTGGATTAGGATTTAGATATGGATTTGGATTTGTACTTGGATTATGATTTGGATGTGGACTCGATTTTGGGTTTAGATTTGGACTTGGATTTAGATTTGAATATGGATTTGGATTTTTAATTGGATGTGGACTTGGATTTGGACTCGAATTTGGACTTTTAAGTAGATTTGAAATTGGAATTGGGTTGGAGTTTGGATTTGGATTTAGATTTGGATTTTTCATTGGACTTGGATTTGGGTTTGCTTTGTCTTGGTTATATTTGCACTGCTGTTAGTTTGACTTGGGCTTTTCTTTGATTTGTTTTTTTTTTTTTTGTTGCTTTATTTTGATGTGGATTTGGATTTGTATTTGGATTTGGAGTTGGATTCGGGTTTGGATGTGGATTTATATTTGGATATGCATGCGCTTTTCTGTGTTTTGATTTGATTTGCTTTTTATTTGGTTTGGCTTTTGCTTTGGTTTTGGATTTGGATTTGGATTTTATGGTTTCTTTACTTTGATTTGCTTGCTTTTGGTTTGACTTTAGCTTTTCTTTGCTTTGATTTGATTTGCTTTTTTTGCTTTGATTTGACTTGGATTCGGATTAGGCCATGGATTTAGATTTGCTTTCTTTTGCTATACTTTGCATCTTTGTCTTTGGGTTTTTGTTTTGTAACTACAGCCCATTACAGGAAGATCTAAATAACGAGTGCTTTCCTATACTATTACTTTTTTTACTACTCTTTTGCGTAAACAGGCCCACTGTGAGTTCTAGTAATTATGTGAAAGTTCTTTTGTATGTATATATGCATGTGAATGTGCCTAAAAGAAAGCTCTATGTGAGTAGGAAATGTGCGTTTGTATATGTGTTCTGGGTGAAAGCTTGAGAAAAGTTTCACTCACAAGACGGCCGGGTAGCAACAGCAGACTAGCCAAGATCAGTTTTTAATAGGAAAAAGGTTGTGAAAATCTAAAGAAGTGTGGTGCGCGAGTTCGCTTAGTAACAAAGAATATAAATGATATACAAAGAATAATATACGTGTATAGTATACGGAAACCGGTTCACCATACACCCAGAAAATCCCGTGAGAGATACATTTAAAAAAATTTTTTCCCCACCAAACTGTTACAAGTGGCAGACCCACCCGTGGGGCTAAAAGCCCATAATACATCGTCAATCTGGCGAAGCAGCATATTATTTACTGACTGAAGAAGACAAGTCACCTTATGTACAAAGGCCAGTGAACCCGCGGAATGGCTGGCAGAGAATAATATGATATATGAAAAGATAAATATACTTATTCAGCGAGCACAGCAACAAAAGTGAGAGTTGAATCAAGAGCAATCAGCACCTTTACGTAGTGGAGGTCTTAGCCACCATAGACAGAAGGGGAAGAAATCCACCACTCTCCGGATGTTTCCGGGGGACACATGTGCCACTGTATCATTTTATTCATGAAAAAATTAATTACCTGTGTAATCATTTTGTGGGGATGAAGGAGTTACCCAGAAGCCAGGAGGACCGATGTTCGAAGACATTTAGACTTTTTATAGTTGTTTTATTTTTATCGCGCATCTTATGTTTTATTTAGTCGTAACAAAATAATGTAATAAGTTTTTAACGTCATGAGCTAACTATTCAATTTTTTTTTTAATTTAAACTTTGGTTTATTTGCATATTTTAAATCGCAATCCCGCCGAACTCTTTTTGATTCCTGCCACTGCTCTGTAATATTGAATAAGAGATCAGCTGTCATCGCCGAATATAACTTTGGCAGGTGTTCGGTCAGTACACTTATTCTTGTTTGTTCTTTTCCCCTTTTTCACCACATCATCTCCTTTATGCTGGTGCATTCAGAGATTTTTAAAATAGGCACAATAGTGGCTGAGAAAAAAAGGCTAGTGGCGTATATTGAATTTTTCGTATATACAAATATATATGTTTATAAATATATGTACATAATTGGTATAAATATAGAAAAAAAACGGACATACCACATGTTACTATGTTTATTTTTTTTATCTTTTTAGTGTAAAATAATAATATAAATAGGTATTAGACTTAAGTATCGCTAAATTCATTGTCAATAAAGCTTTATGCTAAAAAATTTACAATGTAATTGAATTCCTGAAAGATACTATGCAGGAGTAATTGATTTGGTTGGTGTGAGTGTTGCACTGGTACAACAAGGTGAAAATGTATGGCGACTGACGACTGAACAATACGGACAAACGTAAAACCAGACATTATACGTAGGACTAAATGAGGGACAGACGATAGACAAACTGACAACATTCAAGTTAGGAGACCTTACCATGAATAGGAGTCACGGTAAAGTCCATGGCTACATCTGTGAATATGTAGATGAGATGGGCTGACTCCACCTGACTCGGACTGATGGACAGATACCTTCATTTATTTATTTTTTTTCTTCTATAATCGTATACCCAAGTCTTTCATCACGTGGCATGAAAGTAGGAGTTTGCATATGGCAACTGGAAGGGGGGGAAAAATCCACCCAACGACGAGCTTGCCTTGGATGCAAGCATGCCACAACTCCAACCGACCTTACACCAAAAATCAGTGACGTAACAATGGCGCCCGACGGACGGAAAGAATCATATGCTACAGATAGCTTTATCTTTGTACCACACATATGCAATAATGATACCCACCGAAAGCTATATAGTAGTATTCAACAGAGAGAAATGTCTATAATATGGTCTTAAAATTGTTATAATTGCCCGATTTATCATTTGTTGTACTTTTCCGTACTTGTTCAATCTAGTTACATCTAATAGATCTATTCTGTGTTCTATCTTTTTTTTATATCTTCTTACATTATCATCTTTTCCTTCCTATCTATCTTTCTTCTATCATTCTTTCTTCACGGACAGGTTAGGGTTAGGACGGCAACATCGCTTCTGTTTATAATCGTATACCCAAGTCTTTCATCACGTGGCATGAAAGTAGGAGTTTGCTTATGGCAACTGGAAGGAGGGGGAAAATCCACACAACGACGAGCTTGCCTTGGATGCAAGCATGCCACAACTCCAACCGACCTTACACCAAAAATCAGTGACGTAACAATGGCGCCCAACGGACGGAAAGAATCATATGCTACAGATAGCTTTATCTTTGGACCACACATATGCAATAGTGATACCCACCGAAAGCTATATAGTAGTATTCAACAGAGAGAAATGTCTATAATATGGTCTTAAAATTGTTATAATTGCCCGATTTATCATTTGTTGTACTTTTCCGTACTTGTTCAATCTAGTTACATCTAATAGATCTATTCTGTATTTTATCTTTTTTTTATCTTCTTACATTATCATCTTTTCCTTCCTATCTATCTTTCTTCTATCATTCTTTCTTCACGGACAGGTTAGGGTTAGGACGGCAACATCGCTTCTGTTTAACGGACCCGATAAGTGCTCGACTGACGAGACAAGGGCGGGGTACGCTTCTTACTTCCGAGCTTCCTCTTACTGGCTTCATCGCTATTACAAGTGGTATTCGAAAGCAAGGTGTGTGCAACGGGGGGAAAAATCATACAACATATGCTGTCCAGCATGGTATGCGAGTGAGGCTGACAATTGGCGTTGCAGAAAGAGGGTGAAGTGCGACAACCACGTTTAAGACTAGTGTGTTGAATGTAGATGTGTCAAACTTTGGGGTCTAGTAAAATATAGGGGAGTATATGAGCAAGCCAGACGACAGACTATGACTGAAACAAACCACCCATGATGACCCTGCATAAGTGCAACACCAAACACACACCAAGTATCTTACTGTACAAGTCTCTTTAAAATAAAGTAAACGAAGTTAACACATTACAAAAAAAAAACTGTCTGGGATACTTATGATTTCACCTGAAATAAATATTACAAAATCGGTTGAATTAATAAAAATAATAATTATTCATATAAAAATAATAAAAATAAATATGTAAGTATACTAATATATATATACAAAAAAAATACACTACAGTTGAAAGTTAAGCTAAATCTTATTTCAATTAGGCATTTTTTTTCTTAGATACTTTAAGTTACTATACACTTATATTGCAAGTAGGTAGCACTGGATTTGTTTTGAATTTAAATTTGAATATTATTTGTAATGGAAGTGTTTAGTAATTCCGAAATTGAAAAAAAAAGAATTTTTTTTTAGAATAGAAGTCACAATAGGCTTTCAATAAAATTAAAATTGGGAATTCGATTAGTTGTAGTAAGCGATTATATATCTTGTTGAAAAGTAGGTATAAACTTTTCTCGAGTGTGTGTGAGTTTATGGATAGAGAGTGTGAGAAAAATCCTGATGGTGGATTGGGGCTACTTAATCCAGATAGGCCAGTAACGCGTAGTGTAACTAGGGCATTGGAAAATCAAATAGTTGGATCTCTCTTTACGCAAATAGATACAGTCATACCATATCCGGTTGACTACGTTCCGATAGATTATTTTAACCGGTGCCCTGCACACATCTTCCGGTCGCTAGATTCAGTAAACAACCCTAGTAATTCGAACGATCAGGTACAACAAAGCGATGAAAGTTGCATTAATAGTTTTGAGCGGAAATTAGAGAATTTGTGGAAGATGTCTGACGAGGAACAACGAGATGCTTCAGGGCACGATGACCAAGGAACGAGTGTGCGGAGAAGTGCTGCTGAGCGCCAGAAAGCTCCAGGTAGTGAACCTGCTTCCACCGCAACAAATGTTGACCAACAAAGTCAGTTGATGGCAATGATGATGCTACAAGAAGCATCAGCACAGGCCCTGATTCATCGATCCGCAGTAGCATCTACGCTGGAAAATCCAGGACATAGTAATGAGGCATTACACACCCGAGCAGGGGCAAACACCACTCCCACCGTACAACAATAGATAAGAGAGTCACAAAGATGGAAGAAGGTGGATTTAGATAAGTGGCATATTAAATTTGACGGTGCGGGAAAGGGGAGTACAGTGGAAAGTTTCCTTTTCAGAATCCAAAAGATGCAGGCACAGTCTTCCACGTACTCGTGTCTGGTTCTGCGCTGAAGTGGTATTGGCAAGTTCTTGATTGATTTGATTTGATTTGATTTGATTTGATTTGATTTGATTTGATTTGATTTGATTTGATTTGATTTGATTTGATTTGATTTG